GTTTGAATTTAAACCGAAAAGTTTATTAGCCTTGGGTTAAAGCTATAATTACTCTTGGAGTAAGCGGATTGCGATCCGCTAAACTCGTACTTGCTCTGAGTATAGAACGAGAGGTCGGTGACCTAACTTACGCTTTCTCAAAGCGCAAAGCTACGGCAGCCCCACTGCACAGAAGGGAACAAAGCTGAACGCTGTCAAGGTTCGCAAAAAGGTCAAAATGATCCTTTGACATTTTTTATGATAACATCCTCGGCTTCAATCCGCAGGGGTATTTTTCATGCCTTCATGCTTGAATTCTCATTTTTACAAGTCGTCAACTCGAAGTCCAAATTTTAGGCTATTAGTGAGATTATTTAAGTGATTGGCTTACTTTATATTTCTGCAGTTGTTTTCCTTCGATATCCCGTTGGGTAATGGAAACCTTGCTCTTGTGACCACTGACATGGATACTTTTCTGTAGCGAAACGTCTTATGGCTAAGTGTAATTTCGGAGGTCCTATCCAAACTGCAATTATTTCGCTCGGTATAACTTCACGCAAATGGTAGTGTTTAGTTTGGCTTCCAAAATTTACAAAAGTATTAAAGGAGATCCGTCGTTAAAAAAGTTAATACAAGTAAAAAAACATTGACTTCAGCAAATGGCTTTATCGTCTTGTTGTTATTGGTTAGCCCGCTCATCTGCACGATTCACTGCGCCACATTGCGCTTTTGGTTTATACTTCGAGTTGGTAGCCACATATCGCACTGTAATTCTTCCAAAAGATAAAGTGCATAGCTGACTCACCGAATAAATACCTTAAAACCCTCTGCACACATCCATAAACGACAATGGATAGCCTTCCATGACACCGAACGCTTGTGCCTTATAAGACTACGAGCAAAAAAAAGTTGAGTGAGACTCAAGTCGACCGGAAGCTTGATTGTTGTGAAAAGTTTTTTTTGCTAGGTCGCACTAAACGATGGTGTCGAACTAAGAACACTTCGGCATCCACAGTATGAATTATTGAGGAAATTTTGTGCCATTGTTACGATAAAACAATCGTCTATTCTGCCTCTCAAACCGTGGCAGCTCTATTGAGCTACACGCTGCTTTTGGCGCAATCAGGATTGCTATAGATTCAAGAATAATCAGATTACTTCGACTCATTGCGGCATGACATTTGCCACTTTGATCATCATTGACCCCAAGTCAGAGATCATCTTAATTGACGGCGTTGTGCATGTGTGCTTGAAGACCTCATGAGTTCTTTATTCCATGAATCGACTCTTTGATTGCTTGGCTTTTGATTCGACGTATTCCTACATCAGCAACAAGTGACGGAACATCTTCAACGATGTAAATGTATGCCAGCATAATATTTTGAGCAGGCTAAAGCTGGTTCAAGCCACTCAATAACACTGCCAATTTGCCGCCACACATTCTTGATGCCAAATTTCAAAACCTGGTGCTTGACCAAATTGCATGTCACACTGGAGCGTGGCTACATAACTCGTTTATCCGCGAGTACAAATAGAAAATCGAGCGCAACTTGCCGACTTTGGACGGCCAACTTTCTCATTATCATGTTAAAGTTTGCTTGAAGCGGGGCAACGATGCTTCGGATTGAACGTTTATTTCATGTTTAGTAATTTCAAGCATACATATATTTGTCAATTCGCGCTGTTTACGTTCTTGCAAAGTAACCAGTTAGAGCAGTGATGTGGAATATGACGTTATTAGCAAGTTTTTTGTTACATTTATTTCACTCATCTTAATGCCTTCATCGCAGGTAGATTGCTCAAAAGCTCGGCTCGGCTCCACTACTATAATCACAGCTCACACAACTATTACGCTGCTATTTATCGAAGTTGTAAATTTTGATCCGCTTGTTGTTCGAGTTTGGCATCCCTTGTGCAAGTGTACAACGTCAATTGTGGGTCGGAATAGCGTTTGAAACTGTCTGACTTTGGATTAAGTTAAAACAACGGTGGGAAATGAAACGACGAATTGACAGCCTTGTGTGTTCCTAATGGACACAACATTTCATCTTGGGCATCCATCCAAAGAAAGCAGCCGTCAACCTTTACCTCAATGCTAAGACCTTGATTCCCGTTACTTTCTATACAATTGGTCACAATGGCGTTGCGCCACTCCGGATACGTCTTGCCAACAACCTGTCGCCCCACCATCACACCATCACCTGCTTTAAATGCGCGCCAATTATGGATTTTTGTATACAACGGCGCTAACCGAGTCGATGTGCGCTCAATCCACTCGTCCCACTTGGACGTCCACCCACGATAGTGTACTTTGACGTATTGAGACTTCAATGCCACCACTCGCGATTCGTACCTATTTCTCAAAGAATTTTACAACATGAATCGTGATTGGTAGCACTATCAAAGAAAAAGTGCTTTCTTTGGCGTACCATTTACGGTCCGTGTCACGTGCGTCAATTAGTTGGCCAACATGAAGCTCAAAACGCCAATTGTTGTCCTTATCTTTAGCCACATTCATTTGACTTTTCGCTTTTGGTGTAGAATTATGCCCATCTGTACTCAAGTGCTCCATCAGACTCATGGTATCACGTACAGCATCGTCACCTTCCTGAGATGTAGATTCGATGACATCCTCATTTGCCATACACTCAGCTGCTACGATCTCCTTTGAACAACCTTCATCTCCATTGTCGACAACACACCACTCATCACTATCTATAGCAGCTACTACTGATTGCATGACTTGTGTAGCCTGAGAAATAGACTCGATTTTGTCAACAGGCTGCTCTTGACAAGGTAGTTGTTTTTTTGGTCGCTCAAAATAATCCACAAGTAATGTGTGAGGGACTACCATACTCGTTAAATCTTTTATGACACTAGTATTGACTGCCTTATGTGTTCCTTTTTGGCAAAGAAGTTCATCCTGTGTATCCATCCACTTCTTCTTTCCGTCGACATCAACTTCTATTTGGTAGGACTCACCTTTACGAGCACACGCTGTCACACGTGCATTTCGCCACTCTGGATACGATTTGCTGCTCACTTCAGTACCAACTAGAACCTCATCGTTTACTTGGAATGCTCGCCAGTTTGGCACTTTTGTATGTAATGGAGCGAGACGCGTTGACGTTCGACGAAGCCATTCATCCCATTTGTTGGTCCAGCCACGATAGTGAATTTTTACATACACTGCACCAGTATCTACAATGCGAGATTCATACCAGCGTTTATTCGTATCCAGCGCGTCAATTAATTGTCCAGTCTTAAGCTCAAAACGCCACGTATTTTCTAAAACATCACTAAAGAATCTTCCACATCGCCAATCTTGAAGTTTTCCATCCGATTTCGATTCAAATCTGGTTTCGATTAGCAGCTGACAGCACTTGGGATCAATTGATTGTTGAATTTGGGACTTCAGCTGCAGTGTAGAGACCTTAACTCCATCTTTAATATTATCTTTCTCAATGCTTTGTAATGGTACCCACTTCATTTCGTCCTGCAAACGTTCGCATGCCTGAATCATCTCATTTACATTCACTTTCGTCACATGAGGAAATATCTGACATAGCTGTGATTGTGTAAGCACCATCTCTCGTATCATTTCCTGGTTTAGACAGCCTTCTGTAGTGACTGTTAGCACCTTTTGAGTTTCATCCACCACTTCAATGGGCAATTCCAATCCACTATACCATACCAGTAGTTTAAATGTGCGTCTCGTCGGAGATATTGGTGATTCTATCTCCTTGTTACAAGCTGAAAAAGTCTTTGAAAGTGGCTCTGAAGGGTCGAGACTCGAACTTTTGATCTTTGACGTGTGGAAATCGGATTGTTTCTCACGTAATTGAGAGCTGCCAACTTCAGAATAATCTTCATTTCTTTCATCGTCACTAGTTACAACAAACCAGTCGTCAGCGTCGCAATTTGGGGGCTCAAATGACTTCCACGCCATGATTATAACGGGATCAATCGTGATCTTGAGAGTTTGGTGTATACACATAGTATCAAACTTCAAGCTTGAAGTACGCTTTTCGGTGATAAGGTAAAAAAAATAAAAATAGTAAAATTTTATAACTCTGATTGTAAAATATAATGCATGCACATAGATTGACTTATTTATCTAATTAGCGAATCAAATCACTTGGTCTTATTCGTTTCTTGACGTGTATCGTTTTGCGTGTTTTTATTGGCTATTATCTGATTTAAAGTATTCGTGTAGCTATACACCACAGGCTCCAATGTTTCTAATCATTGTAAGCTAGCGAGCGACCCAGCGACCGTCAAGATGAGACCAACGCAGCAAGTGACGATTGTCGATTCGGATCCAAATCGTTTGGTCTCGACTGAGCGTGAATTGTTGCAACTAGCACCGCTACCTCATGAACGTGTAGTCTACTGGGGCTCCGGCAGTCCCCAAGGTAAAATCATCTTTTTACTCTCGAAAATGACATGACTAATCATTTGATCTACATAGCATGGCGCATTTTGATTGCACTAGAAGAAAAAAAATTGCCATATCGCAGTGTATGTGTCAGTTTTTCCAGTGGTGTACTCAAAACACCATTTTTTCGTGCTTTGAATCCACGAATGCGTATTCCTGTGCTCGTCGAGCCAGTCGAAATGTCACAACCTTCCGATGAAACGATTCCAAATGACACATTAGACCCTACAAGCAAAGTAACTGAAGCTGCTGTAGGCATGTCTCGTCTTATGACACCGCAGTTTCGTACTATTATGTATGAATCTAGTGCAATTCTCGAGTATCTCGAAAAGAAATATCCTGAAAGACCAAGTATGCCATCTATGCCAGCTCTGTATGCAGTTGCACAATCGAGGCTGCACGAAGCTAATGAAATATTATCTGTTGTGGGTGATTTGGTCGTATATTTACGTCGATTTCCATCTGGAAAACGGAATATGGAGATTGTAAATGCCAAATGGACATCGGTGGAGAAGGAATTAAATCTATGGGAATTTTATCTCGATGGCCACCAATTTCTTGTTGACTCCAACACTCCATATCTATGTGATTTCACACTCTTTACTAACATTGCCTACGCCGTGCGATGTGGCTTGCAGCTTGACGGACTCTATCCACGATTGGCAATGTTCTATCTGCGATTGTGTGCACGTAAATCGATCGAGACGACGTGGCCGCCACACTGGCGAACAACCTATGGCTCTAAAGTGCTGACAAAATCATGTTGTCATTGTGGTGGAAGGGCTGACCAGCCTTGTGTATGCAATCAGAAGCCAATGATGCCGCTTAGCATGGTCACACCACCGTCGGTATTACAGGCAACTCAACAGCCATCGTAAGGCAGACAAAGTAATCAACAACAAAAGTAGCATATTCAAATTTCATGCTTTCATGTTTTCAATCAAGAACATAATTTCTTTGGTTAACTTGATCTTATTACTTACCAAACTCCAACTCGACACAAGATATCCTGAGCGCGATGTAGTGTCTCCTCTTGATCCCAGTCCGTCCTCACGACACGGTACTCTATCATCAAATCTACCGAGAATTGCCAAGTCTTTTCCATTTGTTCGTATACTTCCCACGTAGCGTCTGAAACATCGTTCTTTCGAGCCAGCATTCGACTTTTAGCAATCTTCCGATCGCATTCACACATGATAAAGACAACCAATGCACCCTCCATCTTACCTGCCGTAATGAATTCTTGCCGCTTCGTATGATGTTGAAATGTGGCATCAACAATTACACGGCCTCCATCACGCAAATGCTTAATGCTTCGTTTTAACAGTTCTTCATATGTGCTGCAAGTCATATTCATGGAATAAAGACTCTCTTCAAGCATTTCAACACCTTGAGCTGTCAACTTTTTATCTTGATGTACAGCCAATTCTTTCCGAATAACATCTGAACGTAACCAAACCAAACTTTTGTCACACTCGACTAGCATTCGAGACAAAGTAGATTTACCACTTGCCGGAAGGCCACCGATTAAAATCAAACACGGTCGTTCGTTAGGTTGACTCAACATCTCAAGAGCCACTAGCCAGTGACAACGCGCTTTTTGGATCTCTTCTGCACGGCTAGCTGCTGGAATTGTCGATTCCATAGCACGAAATCCACAAACTTTGGCACGTACAACTGCCCGATACGCCTCGTAAAACGTATACAAATCGGCACAATTCACTGAACGTTGACCTGCTTTTTCTAGGTATTTGTGCTTTAGTAATTGAGCGAGATCATAGCGTCCTCGTTGCCACATATCCATTGACAAAAAGGCTACATCAGAAAAAGGATCACCAAATCGAAACTTTTCGTTAAACTCAATACGATCAATTATCACAAAGTCCTCCTCCTTATTAGAGGAACTAGGTAATTGAAAGACATGTTCAAGTCGCAGATCTCCATGTGTATCACAAATGCATCCCAGCTCCACCCTCGACTCAATTATAGGCTTAAGTGTCTCTAGCCATATATACGAAAGCTTTTTCACCCGATTATAAACAGTTTCATTAACTGTTATTCCAACGTGGGAAGCTGTTTGATCAAAGTTATCGTCCATATTATTACATACCATCGATATCTTTCCAAACTGATCGATGTCTCGCCCACGAATAGCAGTTTTGTGAAAGTTGACAAGCTTTTCGACCAATTGTTCCAGCATCTTCTCTGTCAACTTACCTTGGTCCAGAAGATGCATCAACGACCATTCATCTGGTAAACGTACCATGTGTACGGCCCAATCTATAATTTCTCCAAATTGATCATTTTGAAACCAATCCGAATGTTCATTCCTCTCTGGCGTCCAATAGGTGTCGCATCGTACACTAATTTCTCGTGTCTCCCTTTTCATGTAGATTGGGACTATGCCCAGATATACATTTGGTGCTAGTGTTTTGTTCAGCTCTACCTCTGCAATACACGCCTTGAAACGTTTGTTTAAGGACGTAAAATCTGCAAACCCAAGGTTTACGTGTTTTTTGACTTTGTATACTTGCTCAGGAAACATCACGACCATAGACATGTGGGTATGTACAATTTTTAAACGAGTACCATCGTTCTGGCCGCTTGAAGACTTTACATTAGCATTTGAACACACAAACGTCTTTCTGTTCTGTAGTGCCAGCTCTAGCTCCTCTTGCGAAACCTCCAAAAGTGATACCTGCGTCTTTGAATGTACCGATTCCATTGATTTTCTGTTAATGAGGATCACATATTAGATTGCCTTGTCAACAAATGTCGAGCTTTCTCATCAATTTCTGGACTTTATTTATTTCTGTGGATGAACTTCAAAAGTTGTTTTAACTAACTTTCCGAGAAAAGATGTGAAACAAACAGGATGTTTCGATGATTTCGTTGTGAAATAGTCGAGATTTATCAGTGATGCTCACTAATGGCATAAGTGTGTGCAGCTAGCTTCGCGAAACTATAAAATAGTTCATTGCGGTCTTACATGTGATTTTGTTAAAAAATACAGCCGGGTGACATTGAGTGAAAGTAATTGCAATACTCTAACTTTATGTCTCAATTAAAGCAATAACTAATTCGATTGAACGTGCCCTTCACACGCTGCTTCATAAGAACTTATTTTTTGAAAAGAGAGTTTTAACGTACCACCAATATCGATATGATGGGCTTGCGGAGCTAAAATAACCGGCTAGAGGCGCTTTAGGGGCTCCGGAACAGGAAATTCGAAGGAAGTCGACGGCGTGCCTTAATTTTGGCAAACTCAAATCGGAGGTGTCGATCCACACGCACGTCCACTTCCTAGTGGCTCAACTGTAGGTTATACAGGGAGGAAAGCTTCCGGTGCCGTTGCACTCATCGCTCAAAGAGCGCTTCGTCATTTGTAGCGCTTTCGCCAGGGCGAGCACTACATGTATTATCCGCATTGCGGGTACACGAGAGTTACCTCGTTATGCACTCAGACGAGTGCGATAAGCTTCTAACGGATTTTTCTGTGAAACCAAGAAACGAGCTCGAACGAACTTTCCGTCTGGCAAGCTCATCTTCCGTTCTGGCCGGGGCCTGATGATGTGGACGCGTAACGATCGAGTTACCGCGTCCTTTGCTTCCACAGCGGGATCGTCTGGGCGAAAGCCATATTCCACACTAGGGTCAATGACCGGCCGTGGATGGGCGCGCTTCAGAGCTGCCTTACGGGAAGATTCCAGCTGCCACCTCTGTGCCCGTCGGTGTCATTGGTGCTTGCACCACGTCCCTCGGGTGACGAGAAGTCAGGGATCGTACAAGGGATCCGCAATGCGCGAACAGGGCTCGTATCACGCCGATGGCATAGCTCGCTTTCCTCGTCATCCCATGCGGGAAAAGGAGTGTCAGACTCGTTGTCGACCACCTCCACATCCTCAACGAGGTCACTCGCCATTGATAGCGTATGCGGAGCGCGACGCTCGTGCTCAATGAGCCTAGGATGTACATTCCCCGGTTCCGCGGACGCACTGTCCGACATTTCATCGCGTGCGGAAGACGAAGTTGGGCTCTGCCCGTGAGCGCTGTCGGAACCAGCAATACTTGAAGACTTCGGTGTCATTGACAAAGGCTCATTGAGAACGGAAGTCGTTTCGTTCCAACAAAGTGTCTAACGGACACGCAAGCCTCGTTGAGGCAATAATCGATTGGAATCGTAAATGTTCTCAATCTTAATGGTAGAGTGTAACGGGGTTACGCATACCCTGGTAACAGGGGTGTGTGTCACACCAGATAGGCATGGTGTGACCACACCCA